GGCTCCTTTGCCTCCCTCCTGCTGTGTGCCCAGCCTGGAGGCTGCGGTCTGTGACCGGCTCTCGGTGCAGACGGCTCCCTGTTATAGTGTTTCCTCACTTGGCTCATGTGAACCCAGCCCAATTTTTACTCTTTAAGTGTGCGCGTGTGTGTGTGTGTGTGTGTGTGGGGGGGGGGGGGGGGGGATATGTGTGTATTCACATCATTTATGTTAATGAGAGTGTGGGGAGTGAGTTGGAGGGTGGGGTGGGCTGCTTTTAACTATGTAAAGCACTTTGTGCTACATTTTTTGTATGAAAAGTGCTTTATAAATAATGATTGATTGATTGATTGATTGATTGATTGATTGATTGATTGATTGATTGATTGATTGATTGATTGATTGATTGATTGATTGATTGATTGATTGATTGATTGAACGAACGAACATAGGACACATTAATCTCATGTTCACCTCAAAGAAAAACATCAGTAAACACAGTAAACTGCAATCCCTTAAACTGCATTTCTTAAATATAAAGGAACAGCTACCATGTACTCACAGTTTAAACTGTTTTTAAATTAGTTTCAGTTTCTCGGTTCCTTTCTTCTTAAATTTACAGGTTCTCAACAGTCACTTTATTATGTATACCAGTTCACCTGGGCAAAAATCCCTTATTGATGTCTGAGGTTAGAGGAGAATGGACAGAAAGGAAGCTGATAGGAAGGCAAGGTTAACTCAAATAACCACTCAGAAGAACATCTGCTAAAAAGCATCTCTCAACGCACAACACGATGGGCTACAGCAGCAGAAAAGCACATTGGGGGCTCCTGTCAGGAAATTGAAGCTATCATTTGCAAGCTAAATTGGACAACAGGTGACTGGAAAAACTGCTTTCCTGGTCTGGTGCTGATGACCTTGGTCATGATTTCTGCTGCAACACTTAAATGGCAGTGTCAGAATTAGGCATTAAAAAAAGCATGTTGCCAGGTATCATTGGTTCAGGGTAGTGTTGGTGTATGAGAGCGTTCTTTTACATTTACTGCACTCAGCCTTTGGTTTAAGGAAAGAATTGTGTTTAATAGGAACGAAGTGGTGCGATCTCTCAGGCCCACTACTTTACCTGATGTGCGTATATTGTGTCATATACCAGCGTCCACATCACTCCTGAGAAGTATAGCGGGAGACACACGGACCAATCACAAGAGCCTTTAATAGCGGACCAGCCGAGCAGAGCGCCCCAGTTGAAAGTGAGTCCTAAAGTGAGAGAAGAGAACAAGAGAACAGCTATAGTTCTGATAATCTGTAAAATATTAACTCTAGACAAAGAACACTACAAGATAACTTTACACAGCACATACCCAACACAAACTGTGGCCAGTAAGTGAACCTCTTCATCAGTGGGTAGGTGATAACAAGAGATAAAGAAGCAGCACCCAGAGCTATACTGTGAGAGCATTTTGAACAATGTGAGGGAAAGACTGCAAAATAACTGGATAAATAATCACTTTTAGTTACACTATGAAAATTAACACACTGTAGTAATATTGTGATCCAGTTCAACTGTTGCACTAATTTTTTTTTCTCATGACTCGGAGGATTTAATCTAACCTATATACCTGTTCCTATTCTTCTATTTATATTTTCTTAATAAAATGTCATTAACGTTCATACATAAAATTGATTCTGAGTACCTGTAATAGTTGAGACACAAAAGAACCCCAAGTGCAAGCGAGAGCTGCCCTCCCAGGAAGACCAGCGCCTGCATTCGAGAAATCTCTCCTGATGCGATTGGTCGAGAGGCTGTGCGGGACACCTGCGCAAAAACACAAACACTTTCAATTTATCAGAGCTGAAAAATAAACACTTTGAGCAGGGGAGTGACAGTGACACAGGTAAGACTAACGTCTGCTTAGAAATGGAAGTTTAATTTACTTTATTGCAAAAACATGTCCTGTTCATTGTTTGGAGTCAGCTGTAAGAAAATCTCATTTACTTTTTTGTCGAAGTCTTTGTCCCACATGTCATTGATGGTGCAGCCGGCCCCTCTCATGAGAAGAGCACCTGTACCAAACAGTGTGAGCATGCCCAGATCTGGGAAGCATCCAGGGTTAGCAGCCAGAGCAATGCTCCATGTACAGGGGAGGTACAGCAGCCATGTCCCTATGATTAAAAGGCAATGAATTTCAAGGGAATTAAACAAGGAAGTAAGATAAGAACAGAAACAAAGCCCACAAAGAGATGAATGTGCAGCCAATAGCTACATTAATCTGGTGGCATTTTAAATGTGGTTTGGTTTTAGATGCATCTGTGCAGTGACACTGAAAAAATGCAGGGGCAAGATATTTTAGACTCATTGTCTTACACAGTAATTACATAAGAGTTTTACAGTTTGGTAGGATTCTTTCAAAGAACAATTTTAACAATTATTATCTACATCATGAGTTAGGGCTACATGCTTACAAAGATGCTTCCCTGTTAGTGCCAGTTAATAGCTCTACAAGGTCAAAGATGACGTGCTTATTTTAGCCATTTGTTTTCTGAAGACTGTATTAATGTTATATAGCTTCTTGTTTTGTTCTGTTTTGTTAACATGGTGAAAATGCTGCTAAAAATCATTCTGGGCTTAAAGAGTGCATGTTTGGAATAAAGTCAAAATTCTGCAATATTCTAGATATCAATATTTTTCTTTTAAACTGACACAGATAAAAATCATTGCATAGCAGAAAATGAATGTGTAGACATGGTCATAATGACCTGCTGAAGTTAAACCTGAGTACATGAGCTTGCTTTGTCACAGTAGGAAGGAAAAACTCCCTTTTAACAGGGAGGGACGGCTATCTGTCGCGACTGGTTGGGGTGAGTGAATGAAGACACGACAACCCAACAATGTGATGTTCATATAAGTACAAACCTATAGGTTTGTCCAGCCTCATCAGCCGGAGGTACGGTTGGACGTGTACTGGTGCTGAATTTACTATAGTAGCAGCTGATAAACTGAACCGTCTTCTCCCGTTTTGCTGTGTTTCAAGAAGTCTTATTGATGACCAGATTGCAGATTGGTTCTTAGGCTTTCTCTTCCACACACGGGAGTCTGAGGGGGGCCCATCTCCAGCCTGTATCCCTTCCTTCTGGATGAAGCAGGTAGAAAGTGTTATGGTTCAAAATATTGGGGATGGAGACAAGAGAAAAACCACAATAACAACACTGGTCCGGCCGGGTCAAGTCAAACGATGATTTTAATGATCACACACGTGGGAGATGGACACTGATGCAGACAGCCTCAGATCTCAAAATGGTGGAGCATTGCTCAAACTCTTATAGCCTCTGGTTCTCCCACCTTATCATAAAAGCCTAAACATTCACATGCTTTTCTCTCACACGGCGCCTAAGCTACGACCTTGGCTCCCCGTTTATCTGCTCCTGCTGAGTTGGGGCAGAAAACTCCAGTATATTCTGTTCTCTTCTAATCAGACAAATAAGGCGATGACTTTCTGCAAACAGTATTTCTTATAACATCATAAAACAATATCATTCATCCACAATAAATCAGCAGTCTAATGTAATGCAAATCAGTTTAACGAATGCAATAGTTATCAGCTTCTTCTAATTCAGGAGAATAATGCAAACTAAAACTACATAATAATTCACAATCTTTAGTTAGGGGTATAACATGGCATAAAATAATATTATAATCTAACAATTGACATCGATAACAAGCTCCATGGTGGATCCTTTTCAGAGTGCTCAAAGCTAGCTTGGCTGGGAACATGGTGTCTCTCTGCACACACAGAAGCAGAAAGACACATGCAAACAAAGGTTAAACAAATACATTTGGTACAACAGAAACAGAGATGTGTGAAACTTTTGGCTGAAACAACCTGACTGTTTTAGCTGTTTAGGTAAGACACTGCACACACCTACATGAGACAAGCTGGTGTTACAGTAACGAGGCTAAGCTATCACTGAAAATATAATTCAATTCAATTCAATTTTATTTATATAGCGCCAAATCACAACATAAGTCGCCTCAAGGCGCTTCATAGATACAGAGAAAAACCCAACAATCATATGACCCCCTATGAGCAAGCACTTTGGCAACAGTGGGAAGGAAAAACTCCCTTTTAACAGGAAGAAACCTCCGGCAGAACCAGGCTCAGGGAGGGGCGGCCATCTGCTGCGACCGGTTGGGGTGAGAGAAGGAAGACAGGATAAAAGACATGCTGTGGAAGAGAGACAGAGGTTAATAACAGATATGATTCAATGCAGAGAGGTCTGTTAATACATAGTGAGTGAGAAAGGTGACTGGAAAGGAAAAACTCAATGCATCGTGGGAATCCCCCGGCAGCCTATGTCTATTGCAGCATAACTAAGGGAGGATTCAGGGTCACCTGATCCAGCCCTAACTATATGCTTTAGCAAAAAGGAAAGTTTTAAGCCTAATCTTAAAAGTAGAGATAGTGTCTGTCTCCTGAATCCAAACTGGAAGCTGGTTCCACAGAAGAGGGGCCTGAAAACTGAAGGCTCTCCCTCCCATTCTACTTTTAAATACTCTAGGAACAACAAGTAGGCCTGCAGAGCGAGAGCGAAGTGCTCTAATAGGGTGATATGGTACTACAAGGTCATTAAGATAAGATGGGGCCTGATTATTTAAGACCTTGTATGTGAGGAGCAGGATTTTGAATTCAATTCTGGACTTAACAGGAAGCCAATGAAGGGAAGCCAAAACAGGAGAAATATGCTCTGAATGCTACCAACACACTTGCTAACTCTAGTGTGATATAACGCCAAAGCAAGCTTACAATGAAGGTTACAATAGAGAATATACCAAACACTGGACAGATGACAACCACATCAATACTTCCCTGCTGGGTCGTCATTGGTCGTCTCTTCTTTGAGACTGACAGACAAGTTGGAGGACCAGCGCCTCCAACTGGTGTGGAGTGTGCATCACAATTTCCTTACTGGTTAAATAAAAACCAGGTCTAACACTAACTAGTTTTTATTTTTTATTATGGCAGCTCCATATTCAGCATTCTTTATCCAGTATATCCACTTTGCCTCCTCTGCACATGTACAAACAATCAGTAAGTTGGTTTTATTCGTTTTTGTGGTTTCTTTTGCAATCCTCAATGGGAAATAGCTACAGAGGTCACTTTCTGTCAACCATATGTATGCAATAATATAAATAATATTCAGCTTAATGGAAGCTTTTATATGCCAATAGTTTTTTTAATAGCAGTGTTTTGTTAGTTTATCTAACACTGCTTCACCTAAGGCGTTCTTAACAATTGCCTGTTTCTTTCTTTTTTTGCACTTTTTAAGGAAAAGCACCCATGCTTTTTTGGTTAAAACCATATGTTTGAAAACCTCTTTGAACAAGCCCTGTAAGTCTACTTCACTTATTTTGTTCTTGTTAACATACAAAACAACCATGGAGTAGTAACTGATCGGATCCTAGAAATTTATTTCTGTTCATCTGGACCCAGCGTTTAGTAGAAACATTTTATCACTTATCTATGTGACTTCTTCAGTTTCAGCCGACTGCAGGCTTCACCAACTTTACAAACAATACGGCTGCATAATGACTAAAATAACACCAATAAGCCAGAAGCTTAGTTTCAATAAAAAAAAATTCAAAGTGAGTAATAAGCTAAATAAGTCCTAAACAGATTCTTAAATTTACTTGTCAAGACAGGGTAGGGCTGTGGAATATGCAACATTATTGCATATGCAAAAAACATGTGACAAATGTAAGCAGCGTTACAACTGAAACCTCACTGCTCTTGCTGAACAGTGCTGCACAGGGCCCTGTTCCAAAGGGCTTCGGAGTTGACGTAAAGCGGCGATGTATGTCGGCAACCTTCCGATTACAAGGCGAACTCCCAACTCTTGAGCCACGATCGCCCCAAAGACTACAATGAGAATAGAAACAGAGCAGTGTGGCTGGTTAAGTGGTGCAGTTGATAATGAGAAACATGCTTTCATTTTGTACTTTTTAGTATGAGTACTATTCATTGTGAGATGAGGAATGGCTGCATTCACTGCATTATAAGATCGTGAAAGATAAACTCTTAAGCCCCTTCTCGTTTGAGAGATGGTCGTTCCTTTTTTACACAAACGGCCTCCTGCTTAAAGCAGGATATCTGCCTCGAAAGGATTTGCGCATCATGAACATATAAAGAGTGAATTTGAAACATATTGAGCAAAAACTGCTGTGAAGATGTGATATGTGACACAAATCTAGATCCTTTAATTTTCCCCTAGAATGTTTTAGCTTTCATCTTGTTGTAAAAGCCAGACCCTCTGCAAAAGTCTGCAACATCAGTATAAAATTTCTCTGGGATACCAAGGTGATATTGGTAAAACAAAGCTTTTCTTGCTATCTTTGTGACCTGTGCAGCTCAGCAAGCATCGTCACTGCAAGCACGTGGCCAACTGCCTGCGATAGAAACCGAGCCTGAAAAAAGGATTTCTGTTATAAGTTTTTAATAACAATAGCGCCCATTTATTTAAATATGCGGTGCTATATAACACTTACAGTATGGAGGATTTGTTAATACCTTTCATTGGACATTATAATACCTATATCGCCGGCCATAAAAACAGAAAACAACACCATCACAAAAACAGAAAAGACTTTTAAAAGGGGGGCTTGGCGTTAAGGTATGAAATCTACGTACTTCCGGTTACTGTTTCCCCAGATTTCACAATGAACTAAGCGTGGAAGTAAAAAAAAACAACAACAAAAAACTCCATACGTTTTCGTGAATATTAACAAACACATATTTTTTTTTATCAAATTGATAAAATTTAAAAAAATACAATTAAGAAATCCTAGTTCGTATTAAACCAAAATATCCTGTCGTTATATCGAATCTCGTGTAACTGCTGGTAAATAACATTATAACTGATATTTTAATTACTTACACAGCGGAGGTAGTTTTCAGGTAGTTTTATTTTGAAGGGTTGGTGAATTCTACGGAAGTGAAGATGTTTTGTTGCGGTGGGGGAAGCACAGGCCAGGGAGAGTCACACACGCTTGAAAAATGGCGGAAACGTGCTCCGTGTTCATGCGACCTCCAGCAGCGGTTCAAAACGGTGCCTCCTAAGCCTTGTCCTGTTTTTGTGTGCATGCGTGAGTAAAAACCTTGCGTGCATCGCGCACTTTAGCGAGTTGCACATTTCGGCATTTTGTTAAAATAGGTAGGATCTGTTTATTCGGTTGACTCGTTTTACGTCTCCTTCCTGTTGAATATGCTACACTGAAAGTTAAATAGAGGTGTTGAGTTCTTTGTGCTGCCATATTTAAAGATAATATTAGCAAAGCGTACAATCTCGCTCTCTCGCTCTCTTTTTTAAGTATTCACTTGTGTGTATAACTTAATAACGGATAACGAAGTAGCGTCGGATTATGTTGTGCTGCTTCTGTGCCTTGAGAAAAATAATAATCTGTTTTTTCAGTTGTCTAGGTGTGTCACTTAATGTGTAAGGCTGTGGGTTAAAAGAGGCATGCAAGATGGAAAACGGTATGTATCACAGAGGTATGCAACGTCTTTGTGAATAGATACTGACCTATGCTGATCTATACTGGTCTGTTGCCTGCCCCCTCAGATACAGTGGAGTGCTCCACCTCTGGCCACATCAAGCAAGTCATCAGCCAAGCAGTCACTGAAGAATCCCAAGTCGAGGCTTTCCATTGTAGTCACTGTGTGCTGATCTTCGAATCCAAGGTGTACCTTTTTGAACACCTTAACAAGGTGCATGGCCTCAATACAGAAATTTCTCTCAGAGAGGCTGGTTTATCCCCTGGGACTGACAAAGCCAACACAGAGAGCAGCAGCAGGAGTTCAGGAGATAATTTTAAATGCCAGAGGTGTGATTTTAAAGCTTGTAGTTGGGATGGTTTAAGTGAACACGAGGAACTGTGTCACAAAACTTCAGAAAATCCTAACGTGTCAGGAGGTGTCATCATTTCAGAAAACCTCGACAGCACTTTAAGTGTCATTTCAGCAAACCAGAACAATGAAGCTGCAGGAACATCGGAAGATCCATCAGTTCTTTCAGATATTTCTACCTCAGAAGCAAACTGCACATTAAAGGACCTGAAAATTTTGCAGGAATCTCCTTCAAGCTCCTGTCCAAACAGTAGTGGTGTGTTTAAAGTCACAGCAAAGTCTGTGATAGATATCACCGGAAGTAAGTCGTACCCTTTTTTGCACACTGACTTGACTACTGATTTGACTAAAACTCCGGAACAATTCAGAAAGGAAACTGTTCCTGACAGTGCTGTGAAGAGATCCAGTGGTAAAAGTTTAAAAGGTCATCCTGTCAAAAAAGCCAAGTTGGATAACGAAGAGATGCTCACGGAAAAAGAAAATAGACAACAGTCATCCAGCAGCGAAGTCAGCGAAGATGAAGACGAGGCAGACGCGGCAAAAGTGTATTCTTGTAAACATTGTGACTACAGCGACGTGGGCATCAGGCGAATTTCTGCCCATTATCAAAGTGACCACCCTTATATCAGATACAATTCTGTCTACATTCAGGACGCAAGTGATCACAGTGCCACCTTTCGTTGCTTGGAGTGTCCAGTTGAGTTTTTAAGCACAGCTGACCTCAAGAGGCACTACTTGGAAAATCATCCAGATGCCCCAGATGTATTTGCCATGAAATCATGTGGCCTCAGTTTGGTTTTCAAATGCTTTCTTTGTAAATTTACTATCAATCTATTGAAGTCTTTGAAAGAACATTACAAGGCAAAGCATGCAACATATGAAGTGGAGAATTCCTTATTGTTCTGCAGATATTCAATGTCTGAATGCCAAGAGGAATCGTCTCAGCTGAGTCTAGATGTTCACTACCAAAAAAGCCACCCAGATGAAGTAATCACATTAGATAAAATCAAACAGTCCGCTTGTCCCACATCACATGCAGCATCAGAGATGACATCTGAGAAGTGTTCAGATTCTGTGATTGTAGTAGATCATTCAGAGACCACACCAGAAGCCTGTAAGAATCGTTCAGAATCTTCCCAAACCACGAAAGGGGAATCTTCGAAGTTTCCAACAAAATCCAGTAATGAAATTACTACTGGACTGGACATTTCCTCATCCAGTTTACCAAATGAAACATTTTACTGCCAGTTCTGCAGTTACACAAGTACCGAGGTTAAGAGTATCCTTGGTCATCACTATGCAAAACATTCTATGGATGCACCAATAGGTACTGATGATGTCCTAGGGTACAGTGCTGAGATGCAGAAACGTCAGAGTGAATCTAAGATGTCAAAAAGTCCTTCATCTTCCCAATTTAATACTAGTAAACAAGTGAAGATGTGTAGGGAAAAAGAAGATCTGTATAAGGAGGATTACACAGCAGATGCCTCAGAAACAGGAGAGAGACAGAACAAGTCCTACGCATGTCCAGAAAACTTGTTTTACTGCCACAAATGCAACTTTGGAAATCTGTCTGTAAAAGGAGTAATTATCCATCAGGCTAAGGTTCATCGAAAGTGTAATTCCAGCACTAAGTGTGTTCTTGAATATACAGCTTTAATCCATGATGAAATCAGGAAAGCAAATGCAAAGGATTCCTCTTCTTCCCGTCTACCTCCTCCTATAATAAATGAAGGCGAAGAAAAAGCATTTTTTTGCCACTTTTGTAACTACAGGCATAGTACTTTGGATCGGGTAATGCGCCATTACAGCAAAACACATCATGGATTTAAGGCGAAGACTTCAGAAGTCCTTCTGCATACATCTAAGATCCACGATCAGGCACAGAAATCTCCTCTAACATCCACTCAAAATGAAGAAGCTGCTCAGGAAATCCTCAAGCTGAAAATGAAAAAGAAAAAAACAAGGAAGCATTCAAAGTCTTTGGTCATTTCAGCAACACCCTCAGTGACAACCCCACACACAAAGAGGTCCCTGAACTGTTACTCATACGCATGCGCATACAAAACTGACGTGATATATGCTCTGAAGACGCATTTAAGGAAAATTCACAAAGTAAAGCGTACAGTCACAGATATTTTAAGATATTATTTTAGACAAGGATCATTAAAGCGCGGCTATTATTGTGAATTCTGTGTTTTCAGACATGAAAAAGCTGCAGCAGTTTATGAGCACTACCAGGAACGCCACCTAGGACGTGTCCCCTGCGTTGAGTATGTAAATTCTCGGTTATATGCTGGTCCTGAAATGGTCCTTTCTAAAAAGAAGAAGCCTGATCTAGAGCAGAGTGGAGGCAATGGCACTGAAAACAGATTGCTATCCCAAAGATCCGGACAAAATAAAGCTGGTTTGTCTTGCAAAAGATGCTCTTTTAAATCTAAATCTTTGTCAGATCTGGCACACCATTACCGAATGGTTCATCCTTTGAATGCAAAACTTTCCAAGAAAACAAGCGCAAGCTGGCGGGTGGAAGACCAAAGTGACAGATCTCGCTCATTGTCCTCCAAAGTGTTCAAGTGCCTTTACTGCTCTGCAAATTTTAATAGCAAACAGGGTCTCCACATTCACTGTGGATTGAAACACCCGGAAGCTGTAATTGAAAGATATGAACAAGAACAAAAACCAAAACAGCAGCGCAAAAAAAGAAGGCATAAGACATTGAAGTCTAGCATAACAGCAGAAAAAAGCCTCTTGATCTACAAGTGTCCAAAGTGTCCATATGTGAATGTTAGCTACCAAGGGACCCTCACTCACTGTCAAATGAAGCATCCAGCAATTGTAGTCTGGGCAGATGAACTTGAGACAGGTGAAGTCTTTGCATCAAACATGGTCAATTGTACTTTAGGAAGAAGTTCTAATGAAAGAGGGTACTTGTGTAAAAAATGTTCACAAATCCATGGATCACTGACAAAACTCAATGCTCACTGTAAGATGGTTCATCATGACAGAAAAGTGTATGAGCACACTGACACTGAAAGCCAGCCGGTTCACACATCTCGGGGCTCAGCACGGAAGGATGCCTCTGTGAAAAACAAAACTTCGAGAAGAGTAAAAATTGCGAAAAGTAGACAGGCTCCACAAACGGAAACTCCTGAGGCATCCCCATCAACTTTGCTGTCTGGCCTCCGCAGCAGCAAACAGTTGTACAAGTGCCAGATGTGCACCTATAAAGGACCGTATCGAAAATACCTCCAGCGCCACTACAAAAATTATCACAAATTGGATGCAGTCAGTATTTACAAACTTCTTGACAAATATAATAAGCGTAAATGGAACTCTCCCAGCAACGTACTTAAATCAGGCAACAGCACAAAGGTTAAATGTTTGAAATGTCCAGAATTAACATTCAAGTCGTCGCAGCTGCTCATTGACCACTATAGTACTTTTCACCGCTCAGAGTGGAAATTGGACTTTACTGTGTTGTCACTAGGATTGAGGAAAAAGAAAAACACAGGGGTTTACAAATGTGACCACTGCAACACACAATTAAATGGGATTCGAATGGTGTGTTATCACATGGATCGCCACAGAGCAAGGATGCTAGAGAAGGCCAAGGCTGCGCAGAGAAAGGAGTCGCTTATTAGCACAACACTAGAGCAAGAATCCAGCGAGGTAAGTTGACGCTGTAATTCCTGTCTATGCTCTTTGTCTTCTGATCTACTCGTGTTATTTGACCATTACTGTGATTTTTTTTTTTTTTCCAGCCCTGCAGGCAAGATGAAATGACCACATTGGAAACTGTGAACGAGGTTAATCGTTGGAACGGGACACCAGTACAGAGCGCCGCTACATCAGAACTCTCTGATGTACAGCAGCCAGAACTAGAATCGAATGGAGACAAACACACGTGTAGACAGTGCGGCCGGATGTTTATGTCATTGAAAGGCTTGCATTCACATGAGCACAGCCACGCAGCCCTGGCAGCCATCAAGAAACTGGACAATAGCTCCACATCTGGATTAAAACACAAGTAAGAACTTTGGGCTTTTTTTATTGTTAAAAACTAAACTAAAAAAAAAGTAATAATGGCTAAATTTAGACTCATATATTAAAGCAGTCACACCATTTTGCCACGTTTTTTTTTTTGTTTTGTTTGTTTTTATTGTTGTTGTGGGCTCACTTAAAAAGTAACATAGCCAAATGGAAATTTTAGCAGTTGGTCTTGTTTAGTCTGAAAAAGTACAGTGCCTATCTGGGTATTGGAAAACCTTTGCAGAAAAGCTTCTTTATCTCAACATTTTCACTTCCTGGTTAAATAAAAAGTTAGACTCCCCTTTCCCGCTTTCCTCAATTCCACCTCTATCCACTCCTGTATAACTTTAAACTGCACAAGAAGACCGTTTCCTCATAAATCGAAACAATGGCTTTCTGACAAGAGAACCAAAGTCGAGAAATTATACCTCCTTTACAGATTTTAGGAGTTACTTCATCTACTCTCTGTTTGACTAATGTATCTTTCGCAGGCTTGTTGAAATTGAATTTTGATTGCTTTGTTCGTTAAAGCAAGTCCCAAACACCCCAAGCTGTATTTTTTGTGAGAGTTGAATGATTGTGAACCTTTTTTTTTTTTCTTTTTACCTCACCAGCATTAGCAAATATCTCATCCACAAATCTGGAACTCTGAGACCTTTTCTGTGTAGTTGCTGTACCTATCGGACAACAATCTTTGGCCTCTGGAGGAGTCATTTTATGAAAAAGCATAATGGTAAGAACTCATTTGTAACATCACCAGTGGTATCTTATGAGCATTAAGTGTCAAATGCATTGACTTTGATCTGCGAACATTGATTTCAAAATCACCAGAATTTTTAAAATTAGTCTTTTGTTGTAGATTATTAGCATAAGTTTTCTGTATGCTGGATTTGGTCAAGTTAATATGAGTTGTCACAGGTGCATTTTATATTAGAAGCTGACTTTAACTGTTCAGACTGGGATGGTTTTGGCTTAGTTTTAAAGACAGCCACATCTTTCACAAGAAGGGGTTTGAGAGATTTCGTGTGGCTTTATGTCTGCGTTTATGTCTTTCCTTTTTCATTTGGTTATTCTTTTGCTGAATGCTTAGATCTCATCATGGCTGCAGCTGAGACTGAAGACAAAGATGAGAGTGAAGAGAGGTTTAAGGAGTCCTCTAATTCATCAGAGAAAATGAACAGCTTGCCTGAAATTGATGAGCGACCTGAACTGATTAAAGGCAAGTCATATCTCATGTTTTTTTGTGTGTGTGTGTTTGTTTGTTTGTTTGTTTTTTAAACTTGGTCTTGGTTTTCATAAAACAAACAGTTTTTGGTTTTGTAGCAGTACTAACAGACTGTGGGTCCTTGAAACTTTGACAGGATCTCTGTACTTGGAGCCCCCAGATGTGCGGCGCCAGTTAAACCACTACACCATGATGGCACAGAGCAGCATCAAATCTAAAGTGAACGTGCAACTTTCAAAATTACCTGAGAACAGCGTGCTTCACTGTGAGTTCTGCAATTTCAGCACTGGACACCTGTCTAGTATCCGGCGGCACTGCCTAAATCGGCATGGAAAGAAAATCCTCAGATGTAAAGACTGCAACTTTTTCACAGGTTTAAGGTAAGGTGCTGTAAGAGTTTGTAGTTTTGTGTGTACAAAAGATTTTTGGCTTTTTTTTTCTTTAATAAAATTTAGTGTGTTGCTAAAAATCTGCAAATTGTACTACTTAGCTTTAACTATTTAGCTTTTGTATTTGAAAATGGAAAATGTACACAAATGATATTCTGGGATTGAAAACTTCGAAAATATTTTTATGTAAATATTAGGGCTGCTCAATTAATCGAATTTTAATCACGATTACGATCTGGGCTTTCAACGATCATTAAAAATGACTGAGCCGATTATTAGCCCCTCCCTCGTGCTTTACTCTCGCGCTGCTTCGTGTGGCAAATCGAGCGCACCTCTCTGCATTTCGAACACGTGTCACAACAATTAAGAGGACCCGAGGGAAGCTCCGAAAGCTAAGCAGAAGTTATTTGGAGAGGAGAGTGACTGCTGTTGGTTGAAAAGAGAGGTAAAAAAAACTTCAGTGGTGTGGAAACATTATGGGTTGGCGGAGTCAGACGTGGATCAAGTAGACATAGTGTGTAAACTTTGCTACAGTGTCGTAGCTGCACCACAGAGCAACACTGCAAAGTTCACTAAACATAGATGTTTACATTTTTCATTTATTTTTTTATATTGCAAACATTTGCACTGTTATCAGTATTTGCACACTATTTTATATTATTTTTTGACAATCTTTAAAGTCATTATTCAATACATTGTTATTGTTAAATAAATATCGTCAAATAATCGAGATCTCAATTTCAGTGAAAATAATTGTGATTATAATTTTTGCCATAATCGAGCAGCCCTAGTAAATATTCGTTTTCACATTTGTTTTAAATGTTGCATTTATTCTCGCATTTGCATTCAGGATGAGTAATAATTGATACTTTTAATTCTGCATCATCACACATGCGCAGGATCTGACTAGTTTCTATAGTCAGGTGACATAATGCATTCCTGGTTTGCCTCAAGGAGGAGACACAAATCCCTTTGGGGTGGCATCGGGAAGAGAACCTGGCATAAAAGTGTGCTAAATCAAACATGCCGCGCTATCTGCTGTTTGAACCCTTTTTGAAGAAGAAGCTTCTTTTATTCAAATTTAGACATTGTTGTCAATTATTTTAAATGTATGGGAATAACTTGGATGAGTTTTATGAGGTATTTGACTTGACAGACATCTTGAATTTGTCATTTCTACTCATTACTCAACACGAGTTGTCACCAAACACCGACAGATTTGCAATGTTATCACTGATTTCTCCTGTTGTCATTAGGAAAACTCTGGAAATGCACATGGAGACGGGTCACTCTACCTGCCAGTCAAAGCCTACTCATCAGAAGGACCTCTGCTGCCCTTTCTGTCTGTACCAAACTAAGAACAAGAACAACATGATTGATCACATTGTCTTGCATCGTGGTATGTTGGAGCATTTGCAGGATTTGTAGGAACGTGTTCTGCTTTCCGATACCTGACGCTGTCACATAAGCATTCCCTTTTTTCCTTTTTTTTTCTTTACAGAGGAACGTGTAGTGCCAATAGAGGTTCGTCGCCCCAAACTGTCACGTTGCCATCAAGGCATCATCTTTGGGTCAAAAAAGGTATTCTCTTTAACTGATGGGCGGACGGTGCTCTTGTTCTACACACTGCTGTCATAACCATGAAGATTTAGAAAATCAAGAGAAAATGAAGTTGAATGAAGAATGAAGTTATTTAAGCCTATAAGAAACGTAAGCAGCAATTAGATGTCAGACGTCAACATGTCTGATATTTGAAGGGAGTAGCCAACGAAAGAGAGTGGGAGCATACATCCTAAAAATATGAATAGATATAAAAATGAACAAAGAATTCATCAGAATGACATTTTTAAATGTCAACCATGCATCTTGCTTAGTAGCACTGCATCACTTTCACAAGCTACATATAGACAGTGGACTTACTTTTGCAAAAGAATGGTTTTATTCACATATCACATTGGCACTGGGCCATTTGATTCCTTTAGTCTAAATGTTTTTGTAGTCCAAAAACTTTGCCACAAATCGGTTTAATATTGATTAAGGTTGCACCTAATGGAGTGATGCAGTGCATATCCTACCCCAATTCCTTGGCTATTAAAAAGTGCTACATTTACAGGGATTAAACCATAAGTAATGTCAAAGATGGACATGGACAACTACTGTGACACGATCCGTTGGTTTCTGAAATTGTGTTTTGATGCCCCAGGATTAGCATTTTCACCACAACCATCTTAGTTTCAAAGTAGGGCTGGGCGATATGGCCTAAAATCCATATCATGGTATAATTTGAAGCATGTGCGGTAACGATATATATCAGGATATATTCTTTTCTTCTGTATAACGTATTTTACACACTATAAGGCACACTTAAAATCCTTTAATTTTCTCAAAAATCGACAGTGTGCCTTATGTATGAATTCTGGTTGTGCTTACTGACCTCAAACCGATTTTGTGTTACACGGTGCGTAGAAATCAAAAAATGTTTTAGTACGACTTTGGAGAGCTATGAAAGCGCACCGCTTGATGGATTGCCGGAGCATTACGGCTGCCGTAGTCAGGAGCCTTGCGGAGTAATCCAAAACTCCGTCCACTTCAGGTCCCAAAGTCAAACACTGCAGCGTCACTGAGAGTTACAAACTATCGCAATTCTTTCATCTTTAATAAAATGATCAGCGTTTCTGCTCTACCAGGTGTAACAATTAAGTTTAACATCCAGGCATCCATGAAAACAGAATCTATTAAATTGAATGGAGTTAGAAGTTAGCAGGAAATTTGCTCGCTAGCTTCCACCTAAACATCATATAGCATGTTCTGACTGAGAGATTTCTGAAAAAATTTAAATGTACAGCTCTGCTATCACTTCCAACATAAATGAAGACAGAAAACTAAACAGCAGTGACATTTGTAAGGTTACTGAAGTTGGGCTAGCTGGTATATAATGATGTCCTACGTGATTGCTAGCGACACAGCTACGTTAGCATAACATTAGCACAGTGAAGCTGAAGGATGAATGCCAACTTTTTCCCACTCGATAAAAGTTAACGTGAGGGTTTCTAGTGGTTAGGGACAAATGCAATTGCATGGCAGGATGCTGTAAACGGACCAAACTTCAGTCAGGAGAACAACTGAGATAATCCATCCACAATACGAGGTTAGTCATTAATATACTGCAACAACATGGGAATATAGCAGCTGCGAGAGAATTCAGCATTAACAGTGGGGCAAAAAAGTATTTAGTCAGCCACCGATTGTGCAAGTTCCCCCACCTAAAATGATGACAGAGGTCAGTAATTTGCACCAGAGGTACACTTCAACTGTGAGAGACAGAATGTGAAAAAAAATCCATGAATCCACATGGTAGGATTTGTAAAGAATTTATTCGTAAATCAGGGTGGAAAATAAGTATTTGGTCACTAACAAAAATACAACTCAATACTTTGTAACATAACCTTTGTTGGCAATAACAGAGGTCAAACGTTTACTATAGGTCTTTACCAGGTTTGCACACACAGTAGCTGGTATTTTGGCCCATTCCTCCATGTAGATCTTCTTGAGAGCAGTGATGTCTTGGGGCTGTCGCCGAGCAACACGGACTTTCAACTCCCGCCACAGATTTTCTATGGGGTTGAGGTCTGGAGACTGGCTAGGCCACTCCAGGACTTTCAAATGCTTCTTACGGAGCCACTCCTTTGTTGCCCGGGCGGTGTGTTTTGGATCATTGTCATGTTGGAAGACCCAGCCTCGTTTCATCTTCAAAGTTCTCACTGATGGAAGGAGGTTTTGGCTCAAAATCTCACGATACATGGCCCCATTCATTCTGTCCTTAACACGGATCAGTCGTCCTGTCCCCTTGGCAGAAAAACAGCCCCATAGCATGATGTTTCCACCCCCATGCTTCACAGTAGGTATGGTGTTCTTGGGATGCAACTCAATATTCTTCTTCCCCCAAACACGACAAGTTGAGTTTATACCAAAAAGTTCAACTTTGGTTTCATCTGACCACATGACATTCTCCCAATCCTCTGCTGTATCATCCATGTGCTCTCTGGCAAACTTCAGACGGGCCTGGACATGCACTGGCTTCAGCAGCGGAACACGTCTGGCACTGCGGGATTTGATTCCCTGCCGTTGTAGTGTGTTACTGATGGTGACCTTTGTTACTTTGGTCCCAGCTCTCTGCAGGTCATTCACCAGGTCCCCCCGTGTGGTTCTGGGATCTTTGCTCACCGTTCTCATGATCATTTTGACCCCACGGGATGAGATCTTGCGTGGAGCCCTAGATCGAGGGAGATTATCAGTGGTCTTGTATGTCTTCCATTTTCTGATGATTGCTCCCACAGTTGATTTTTTCACACCAAGCTGCTTGCCTATTGTAGATTCACTCTTCCCAGTCTGGTGCAGGTCTACAATACTTTTCCTGGTGTCCTTCGAAAGCTCTTTGGTCTTGGCCATGGCGGAGTTTGGAGTCTGACTGTTTGAGGCTGTGGACAGGTGTCTTTTATACAGATGATGAGTTCAAACAGGTGCCATTCATGCAGGTAACGAGTGGGGGACAAAAAAGCTTCTTACAGAAGACGTTACAGGTCTGTGAGAGCCAGAGATTTTCCTTGTTTGAGGTGACCAAATACTTATTTTCCACCCTAATTTACGAATAAATTCTTTACAAATCCTACCATGTGAATTCATGGATTTTTTTTTTTTCACATTCTGTCTCTCACAGTTGAAGTGTACCTCTGGTGCAAATTACTGACCTCTGTCATCATTTTAAGTGGGGGAACTTGCACAATCGGTGGCTGACTAAATACTTTTTTGCCCCACTGAATGAATCAATGGGACGGAAGTGGAGGCGTGGAGTTTTTGGCTATCCCCATATTCCAAAAGTACTTTGTCTCTTTGCTATTACTGTCGCTCAGTAAAAATTGCAGATGATGTTGTTTTTAGTCGCTGCAATGCTTTCAACCAAAACAGGCGCAGCTTGATGACACCATCAACATACGCTATCGCGGTAGAGCGGTATAGTCAAAATCTCTACCGTTAGCCAAATTTATATAGTTTCTACCGTATACCGTTTATACCGCCCACTTCTATTTCAAAGAATAAGATGTGGTGAGAAGGAGAGGGGCTGACAGTGAAACTGCTATCTCTATGCAGTAAGCAGACAAAAGATAATCCAACATTTTTAAGCAATTTAAACATGATTTGCAAAATAGTTGTAGTAATATTTTATTCAGTATGCTTCCAAAATCAGTGACTAAGCCCATAAACTCACAAGGAAAGTGTTTACTATGTCATGTCTGTCTTCCCATAAACTATAGGACTGGGAGTCTTATCTCAACCCCATAACTCCAAGTGTATTATATTGGATAAATGAGTTTTTGAGGCTTCTACATCATCAGTGCCCCACCCCAATATAATGTGATGGAAAAGTGTATCATAATTTGGACCTTGATTCTGTCTATGCAGGTCATGAAGAATCATGAACTCGTGGGTCAGGGGAGCCTTGATCAGCTGGAGGCAAGCGTTGATAATGTGCCAGTAACAGAAGAAGAAGAGGAACATTTGTCTAACATGGACCAGCTAGATAAAGACAGAGAAGATGTAGAAATGGAGGACCTTTTTGCAGACTGTGATGAGGTTCCACAAACTGAGAACCTGGAAGAAAACTATACCACAGAGAAAAGTGCACTCCAGATCAGGGAATGCCAGGAAACCAACGGAGAAAGTCCTGGCGAGACTTCCGAATCAGACATTCAACATGAAAATGCCAAACCAAACTCTACTGTCCAACAAGAGCTGCAAAAACAAGCGGAGCTTGTCCTGCTAGAGACTGCAAGAGAACAGGAGACAGGAAAAGTGGAACAAAGTGGAACAGAAGTGAAAATTACAGATACCCCATGTGAGGATTACGGCAATCCAGAGGAAGAGAGACAGACAAATGAAAACCAAGCCCAACCTGAATTCACAGAATCTGGAGACAAACAACAAATGGAGACAGGAAATGTGGAACAAAGTGTAACAGAAGTGAAAATTACAGATACCCCATGTGAAGATTACGGCAATCCAGAGGAAGAGAGGCAGACATATGAAAACCAAGCCCAACCTGAATTCACAGAATCTGGAGACAAACAACAAATGGAGACAGGAAATGTGGAACAAAGTGTAACAGAAGTGAAAATTACAGATACCCCATGTGAGGATTACGGCAATCCAGAGGAAGAGAGACAGACAAATGAAAACCAAGCCCAACCTGAATTCACAGAATCTGGAGACAAACAACAAATGGAGACAGGAAATGTGGAACAAAGTGTAACAGAAGTGAAAATTACAGATACCCCATGTGAGGATTACGGCGATCCAGAGGAAGACAGACAGACAAATGAAAACCAAGCCCAACCTGAATTCACAGAATCTGGAGACAAACAACAAATGGAGACAGGAAATGTGGAACAAAGTGTAACAGAAGTGAAATCTACAGATACCCCATGTGAGGATTACGGCAATCCAGAGGAAGAGAGACAGACATATGAAAACCAAGCCCAACCTGAATTCACAGAATCTGGAGACAAACAACAAATGGAGACAGGAAATGTGGAACAAAGTGTAACAGAAGTGAAAATTACAGATACCCCATGTGAGGATTACGGCGATCCAGAGGAAGAGAGGCAGACAAATGAAAACCAAGCCCAACCTGAATTCACAGAATCTGGAGACAAACAACAAATGGAGACAGGAAATGTGGAACAAAGTGTAACAGAAGTGAAAATTACAGATACCCCATGTGAGGATTACGGCGATCCAGAGGAAGAGAGGCAGACATATGAAAACCAAGCCCAACCTGAATTCACAGAATCTGGAGACAAACAACAAATGGAGACAGGAAATGTGGAACAAAGTGTAACAGAAGTGAAAATTACAGATACCCCATGTGAAGATTACGGCAATCCAGAGGAAGAGAGGCAGACATATGAAAACCAAGCCCAACCTGAATTCACAGAATCTGGAGACAAACAACAAATGGAGACAGGAAATGTGGAACAAAGTGTAACAGAAGTGAAAATTACAGATACCCCATGTGAGGATTACGGCGATCCAGAGGAAGAGAGGCAGACAAATGAAAACCAAGCCCAACCTGAATTCACAGAATCTGGAGACAAACAACAAATGGAGACAGGAAATGTGGAACAAAGTGTAACAGAAGTGAAATCTACAGATACCCCATGTGAGGATTACGGCGATCCAGAGGAAGAGAGGCAGACAAATGAAAACCAAGCCCAACCTGAATTCACAGAATCTGGAGACAAACAACAAATGGAGACAGGAAATGTGGAACAAAGTGTAACAGAAGTGAAAATTACAGATACCCCATGTGAGGATTACGGCAATCCAGAGGAAGAGAGACAGACATATGAAAACCAAGCCCAACCTGAATTCACAGAATCTGGAGACAAACAACAAATGGAGACAGGAAATGTGGAACAAAGTGTAACTGAAGTGAAATCTACAGATACCCCATGTGAGGATTACGGCGATCCAGAGGAAGAGAGACAGACAAATGAAAACCAAGCCCAACCTGAATTCACAGACTCTGGAGACAAACAACAAATGGAGACAGGAAATGTGGAACAAAGTGTAACAGAAGTGAAAATTACAGATACCCCATGTGAGGATTATGGCGATCCAGAGGAAGAGAGGCAGACAAATGAAAACCAAGCCCAACCTGAATTCACAGAATCTGGAGACAAACAACAAATGGAGACAGGAAATGTGGAACAAAGTGTAACAGAAGTGAAAATTACAGATATCCCATGTGAGGATTACGGCAATCCAGAGGAAGAGAGACAGACATATGAAAACCAAGCCCAACCTGAATTCACAGAATCTGGAGACAAACAACAAATGGAGACAGGAAATGTGGAACAAAGTGTAACAGAAGTGAAAATTACAGATACCCCATGTGAGGATTACGGCGATCCAGAGGAAGAGAGGCAGACAAATGAAAACCAAGCCCAACCTGAATTCACAGAATCTGGAGACAAACAACAAATGGAGACAGGAAATGTGGAACAAAGTGTAACAGAAGTGAAAATTACAGATACCCCATGTGAGGATTACGGCGATCCAGAGGAAGAGAGACAGACATATGAAAACCAAGCCCAACCTGAATTCACAGAATCTGGAGACAAACAACAAATGGAGACAGAAAATGATTTCAAAGTGGATGAAGAAACACCAGCTGAAAAGCAAGACGTTAAAGCACTTGAGCATAAAACACTGAACATTGAGGCAAAGGTAGAAGATGACATACTGCGTCATATCTTACAGTTGGCCAATGATGACAGCAAGATGCATAACAAGGCAGATGAGGGTAAAACGGTCAAGATGGAGAAGGGCACTGAGGCAAGTGATATCCCATTAGCTGAAGAGAGCAACTTCCCTTTGTTCCAGAATCCAAAGAATCAAGTTGGTATAGAGGCAAATTCAGCCTTAACAAAGCTAAATATTGCACATGTAAATAACACGAGGACAGAGGAGAGTTTAAAAATTGAAAGACATATGTTAACCCTCCCGCCCACTTGTGCACAACTTAAGATGATCACCGGTGATATTTTAGGTGTCTCGTTTACAAAATTAAAGCAGGAAGAAGTGCACACTCAGCAAAGCAGTGAACAGGAACCTAAACCTTGCACAGAAATACCAGTACTTGAGAAAGAATGTCTGAAGAAGGAAGTGCACTCTCCTGAATGCTTCAAGGAGGAAGAAGAGAAAGGTCCTTTCGAGCAGAAGCAAAACCAAGAATCTGAGATGCTCACAGAAGACGAGGAACGACACCAAGATCAGGCGCCTGGTGACCACGACGGGATGAAGGATGATGATTGTCTGCAAGAGCCTGAAGGTAAAAAGAAATTATGAGTGAATTGAAATATTAGTTTTTGTGCATTTTTGTAAGCAAAATGCAGAAGCAGTGTGGAAAAACTAAATCTTTGCGTCTATAGGATGTAAGAAGGTAAGTAACAGCCAGATGCTACAATCATCAGCAAGTATGGTGACCTCTGTAAAAACAAATTGTCTGGCAGTTCATTGATCTGATTCACATGTGTGATAAAACAATGCACAAGGCGAAGATGCTCAGACAAACCAAAGAAATATATGTAGAAGAGCTACATCTGAGACTCTAAAGGCTTCAATAGCGATGTCTAGCGATACTGCAAAGCATCACGTTTGGAGAAAACCAAACAGGATAACAGCACAAGCTGTTCACCTCCACACTTGCCTTTGTTTTACTCGTGTGCTGTGTAGATCACAGCTGTATCCACACCTGGGCATTTGTTATGCAGATGTTGTGGCAAACCTTCTGGCACCTACTTATACAGTACAGGGAATAGGGCTGCCACGATTAGTCGACTAGTCACGATTACGTCGACTATCAAAATCATCGACGACTGATTTAATAGTCGACGCGTCGTTTGAAGCTTTGTAAGATCACAAAAGACGCAGGAATAAGTAGTAGGATTTAAGAGTGTAATAACGGACTGATACAGAAGATGGCAGCACTGCATGTACAAGGATGCCAGCTGCCGTTAAACCCCGAAGAAGAAGAAGAAGCAGTGTCCCAGAATTCATAGCGCAGCCCAGCTCAAACGGCGGCAGCTAGTTAGTTTTAATATTACTCTTATTATTCTTTCTGGGTCACAAAATAAAGGTTTAACATATGTTCAGGCGAGAATGTAGCTGTGTAAACCTCAAATATCTGCTCAGTTTATCAAGACACCACATATTTTCAAAAGCGCTCCGACGTTTTCGGAGACGTCTGTTACCCACTAGCTCGATAGCGAGCCGGGGGCTAGGCTCACTAGTGCCCTGAGACCCACCGCTGTCTTTCGCTACTCAGGTTAAACATATATAAGTCACTTAGATAACTTAACAATGTTATTGTTTAGCTTTTTTTAGTATTTTATTTGTTCCTGAGTAAATCAGTTTGGGTGAGATTAAAGTTATAGTTTTTACATAGCTGAATAAACGTCAAGCAGACAGCTGATTATCAGAAGTGTGAGATTCTCGAGAATATACTCCAGTGTCCTGTTATATTTTAGATAGCAAGGAGTTTATTAAACTTCACCGAAACAATCTGCAAATTTCATTAAAATTTAATAAACTACCATCTTGTCTTTATTTTTAGTTGGCACAGACCTTAAACACTTAAAGCTGTAAGCTAATGATAGTTATATAAGAGCAGATGCTGCTGGTGCAATAAGATGTACTTTTACGTCCAGTGGACGCATGATCTGATTAGTCGACTAATTGCAAAAATAATCTTTGACTAGTCGACTATCAAAATAATCGTTTGTGGCAGCCCTAACAGGGAATACTACCTGCACGAACCAGTCATCATCAGGTATTAATCTTGATTTCACTCTGCCATTACAAATTACATAAACATATGGGACAGTTTTCATGCTATATCCTCCGAACCTTTCGTAAGTGAATATTCTCTAGGGTGTACAGATGTATGAATCAAGCCTGTTCAGAGTTAGGATGTTGTATAAAATATAAATAATGCAGCATGCAGTGATTTGTATGGTATCTCTATGGTATTTATTTTAAAAAATATTTAAAACCCCTCTCTCTTCTATAACAAGTTACAGAAAGTTGGCACCTTTAAAAAGAATGAGGACCTGTGACCAGAGCAGTACATTTTTGGATACTTTAAGAAGGTGCAGTTCATGCTTAGCACATATTTCAAAATCAAGTATCCGTGATGGTATCCAGGCATCGATTACCTTCAAAGGTATCACTAATGCTTAATAGTATCTACTAGGTTTAGAACAACAGAGACAACGGCTTTTTTAAGAAAGATCATATTTACATAAGAAAGAACACATTTGCATCATGAAATTAGAAATATAACAATGTAGAACATAAAATCGTCATTTGAATTTAGTACCAAATCACAAAAGTGAGGTCTTTAAGTTGTAAGGCAATGACCCTACAGTATTAGAGAGAAAACCACAACAATCAGATGATACCCTATGGGCAAAGCACTTGGTGATGGTGGGAAGGTAACCCTCCCTTTTAACAGGAAGAAGCCTCCAGGGAGGGACAGATGTCTGCCACAACGGTTGGGAGATGAGGTGAAACTCCTGAGCAATTTATCTTGCTCAGTTATATAAGCTATGTTCTGATCTTTGATAGGATTAGAACACAGCACAGTCCCTTCAGTTTTCAAACGCGTACAGGGTTGTAAACACAGTGGCAAAAATGTTCCTAATCACACTTTTGTGAAATATGTCAAACTCAAAGCGACCATGTGTTTTTCAATAAAACAATCTCTGTTGCTTGAAGCATTCAACCACATCACGTGGTTTTAGCAGCCTGTTGACTTTGTTTCGTTTCCAAGAATTGTTATGTTGTTGCCTAACCTTTCAGATGCCGTTTCCAAGAATCAACTTTGTGTGATCACAGCTCTAGAACAGCTAATGTACTAAAAAGACTCTGATATGAATGTCAGAGGCCATTTCTTCACCATTATAGATGAACTCTTAGCCTAAGTTAGACATAATGTTTTTACATCTAAAGTAAAAACATTATATGTATACAGATATCCTATTTAATCACAGCAATATCTCTTTCACTTTCAGACTGTTCTTGGCAGTGTCCACTTTGATGCTGCTCACCCAGAGAATCACCTCTGTGTCTTTGGACCTTCAGGAGAAACGAGTCGTACTGACACCATCCAAAAGGCAGACTTGTGTCACGCTTCTCCCTCTAATCAACTACATCCTCAATTTTACCACACTGCTTGGTGGTCCTTTGGATTCCTATGGACAATTCATTACTCTAATGGAGGGGATCAACCTCACCTCGCCACCCAGTCCTCTAGGTGTAGTTTTCCTAAAGCTGATGCAAGTATTAATGCTAGAGTGGGTTAGATTTTATCTTGTCTTTTTTCTGAAACATCTTATCCATGATTTCAACCCTGGCATCCTCTATGGCAGTGGTTCCCAAACTTTTTTTGCTGGGCCCCCCCTTTGTTTTACAGAAAAGTGTTCTTCGCCCCCTCCCCCTTGCTCGCGCACTCACACACGCACGCACGCACTAACACATCCTCCAACCACACACACCCACGCACGCACGCACTAACACATCCTCCAACCACACACACCTATATTTTGCTCAATTGCGGTTTATTTCACACCTCAAACATTTAGTAAACAATTGAGCAAATACAAGTAATCTGCAGGTAGTAAGCAGGGTTTTAATAGTTTTGCAATTTTCATTAGTTTTTATTTTATATTTAGTTTTGACTTCAGATTTTCAATTTTATATCAGTTTTAATTAGTTTTTACCAATTGTTTGCTAGTTTAGTTTTTATTTTGTTGAAAATCCTTATTTTCAGTTTAGTTTTGATTAGTTTCAGTTATAGTTTTAGTTGTGTTTGCAATAATTAAGTGTAACAAAATCCCAGTTTCATCATATCAGTCATTCTCTTCTGCTTATCCTTGAGTATGTTGCGATTCCAGCTACCATCGGGATGCATCACGCTGCCTTGCCTGGGGTTAGCTTCTGTTTTCTGGGGATGAGGGTTGAGTGTGCTCCCTTACATTCTCAAGGTAAGCTAGGTTAGCCTTCTTGTGTGAGCTTTTCAAGTGCACTTTAAGGTTTGTGGGAATTTTTTCCCTTTAGAAATGTCCCTCATAATTTGTCTCTTTCCACTACAAGACACTTGCTTTATCCAAAACAGTCGTATTCAAAGTAATCCCAAATTGGAATCTGGCGCTTTCTCCTGACATGATTCTGCGCGTGGACGGAGCAGCAACACAGACGACTCGACTAACGTACTGCCACCTGCTGGCATAATTAGACAGCAAAAAAAATCTGGAAACTAAACTTCATTTTCACCCTTGACTATTGTATGACACGCACACATCAATGAAAACTAAACACAGTTTTGCTATAAATGCAGTTAATTTTAATTAGTTTTGTGAACACTCATTACAGTTTTAGTTAGTTTTCCTTTTTTTGTTTTTATTTTTATTTCCATTAACGAAAATGTTTTTTCACTTCTAGTTTTCATTATTTCGTTAGTTTTCGTTAGCAATAATAGCCTTGGTAGTAAGAAAATAAACTACTAACTCTTTTACACTACGTCCATGCCTACACTGGTATTTTTGAAAACGCAGCTGTTTCGTCCACACGTAAATGGTGTTTCGAATCTGAGATTTTTTTTTAAAACTCATTTTTTGTGTTTATGTGTGAACGAGGAATACAGAGTTCGTCATGCAACATTAAAGGCATGTGCCTTTATTCATGTCAGGCTGTGGGCAATGTTATTGTTTACATGAGAGGAATTGCAGAATGGCAGCTATTCAGATTAACAGTATTTTGTCTCCATCTTCAGGTTTTACATGCTTACATATAAACACGCAGTTACTGTCCCTCCATTTAGAAAGGCAGAGGCGTCACGGTGTATTTTACATGTAGTTGTTTTTTTCCTATGTAATATTCAACATTGCTATCAATAAATTTTTCAAAAAAAAAATGCCTCTGTGCCAAATGGGTTTAAAAACATAAACAACTGTGGGATGCTGTTTGTCCGTGATTTAGATGGGGGGGAACAAATCGTGGCAGTATCAGCCTGGTGTTATTTGTATCCCGCTGTAACTTTGCTGTATAAAGAGCTAACATCTCCAAAATGTCAGGAGTAGTTAGTCATTACAACAAATGTTTGAACTAAAAATCAAGAATGTGGGATACTGTTTGTCCGTGATTTGGAGAGGCCAGCGCTGCTCCCAACGAAGGGAAAACCAATTCTGCCGGGGAGACCTACCTTGGACTTGTGCAGGTGAAACCAAAGGGAAGTTATGCTTCACTGTATTTTCTAGTCTTTGGCATAGAATGAAGTTGGTTTGGAAACATATGCAGCTATGCTTCAGCTCCTGCTTTGCGTTTGTGTGGGCGCCGTGCTAGCAGTGTCCAAGCTTTGTTTTTTCCCCTTTTCATGCCCCCCCCCAGGGGCGGGCCCAACACTTTGGGAAGGTCTGCTGTATGGCATCCTGTCGACCTGGTGTCTTGGACTGGTTTTAAGAATACAGTATTACTCTCACTGGAAGATCAGCGAATGCCTCAATAACGCAGCAGGGTTTGGCTTTTGGGAAGATTCATCTGGGGACTATTTCTCCAAATGGAGCGGACTATCCGATGGGGACTTCTGGACCACTGAGGCATCGATATGCATGTCACAGTTTGCTCGTCGCTGGAACGCCACAACAGCTTCATGGCTGCGTAGACTAGTTTATGCAAGGCACAAACACTTCCCACTGCTCATGTGCTTTGGTTTTTCACTGTGGTGGCACGGTTTACACTTAGGACACTTTGTGGGGTTTTTCACCTGGGCAGCAACAGTGAAAGCAGACCATCATATTCACAGGAACCTTTTCCCAAATATTACACCGACACAGAGAAAAATCTACACTTTTGTAAACTGGATAAACACTCAAATGATTGTTACCTGCATTGTTATAGCGGTAGAATTTAGAAATTCGTCTGGTTTGAGACTTTTATCCAAAACATACATAGGTCTTTTTCCACGTGTTAATATAATCCTGCACTTTATCGTTTTAAACCTCAATTCACTAGAACAGTAGTCAAACAAAGATATATTATTAAAGCAAAAAGAACGTTGACTATGGCTCGTTGATCCCAAGCACACCTGCAAATCTACAACAGAATGGCTAAAAAAAGAAACACATCAAAGTGTTGCAATTGACTGGTTAAAGTCCAGTCCTCAACCTGATTGAATTCCTGTGGTGGGATCTTAAGAAACTTTTGCATAAACAAATGCCTGCAAATATCGAGCTGAAGCAACACTGTAAAGAAGAGTGGGCCGAAATTCCTCTACAACAATGTAAGGAACTGATAAACTCATAGAGAAAATGATTAAGTTATTGCAACTAAACATACCTTCTATATTGGAAGATGTACTTAGTTTTTCACTGGACTGGATGTAAATGAATTCTCTTTAAAATTTGTTTAAAAGTTTTAGAGTACTGAAACATCATGGGTGAGAGCAGTCTCATGTTGCAAAAGCACTAAAAAGAACCAGTAAAGTCTGCAGATCTACACGCCGACTCTCACCAAAGTCCTATAATTAATAACTGGAAGTGGTTTCTGACACATAAGCACAGGTAAAGTGGGTAAATGCTGCCTGGCCAGCATAAAAACAAAGAGCACCAATGTCAACCAGTGACTTATGAAGGATGTCGCGCAAAGACCCAGATATTTATGTGTTTTATGGACCAAAACAAAGTAATGAGGCCACTGGCGTACAGTACATTCATCAGGTAGGAGGAATCATACTGCTCCCTGGTGGTCAAACTTATTGCAGCAATTTCAATTTAGATTTGCTGGCATTTTTGAAAATACATAAGTTGTTAAAAGAGTGCTTCTCATAAAAAACAAAACACACAAATGTAATAAAACATCATCTCTAATTATATGAAGGCTTGTTCATTTCTTCAGAGTCTGTCTTTATTCTTTCCACAAATTCCCAACAACAATACCTAAAAACAACAACAGTCCAAGGTTTCTGTTTGAAACAAACTTTTTCCAGCAGTCTTCTGGTTTGTTGATGTCTAATGTGTAAATCTACGAGAGAAGAAAATAAATATACTTCAATGGAAAACCTAATCTTAAAACACATGAATCTGTGCATGTTTCTCATTTAAATGTTGTATTAAAGTTGACCATGATCCTCACCTGGTTTGTCAGGTGCATTGCTATACCGGTGAGTACAGCATAGTAAGGGAGAGTCTGTTCAGCATTGACCCCAGCTAATACCAGTCCAGACATCATGGCCACAACGAAGCCACTCAGCCAGGGTTTGGTTTGCTCCTGGAACCTCAGTGCAGTAGATTTGACTCCTACTTTGATGTCATCCTCCTTATCCTATTTATGAAAGACAAAACAACACGAGGTCATAGTCAATCAAGGTCCCTACTGTAACACGGGACACATTAATCTCATGTTCACCTCAAAGAAAAACATCAGTAAACACAGTAAACTGCAATCCCTTAAACTGCATTTCTTAAATATAAAGGAACAGCTACCATGTACTCACAGTTTAAACTGTTTTTAAATTAGTTTCAGTTTTTCGGTTCCTTTCTTCTTAAATTTACAGGTTCTCAACAGTCACTTTATTATGTATACCAGTTCACCTGGGCAAAAATCCCTTATTGATGTCTGAGGTTAGAGGAGAATGGACAGAAAGGAAGCTGATAGGAAGGCAAGGTTAACTCAAATAACCACTCAGAAGAACATCTGCTAAAAAGCATCTCTCAACGCACAACACGATGGGCTACAGCAGCAGAAAAGCACATTGGGGGCTCCTGTCAGGAAATTGAAGCTATCATTTGCAAGCTAAATTGGACAACAGGTGACTGGAAAAACTGCTTTCCTGGTCTGGTGCTGATGACCTTGGTCATGATTTCTGCTGCAACACTTAAATGGCAGTGTCAGAATTTGGCATTAAAAAAAGCATGTTGCCAGGTATCATTGGTTCAGGGTAGTGTTGGTGTATGAGAGCGTTCTTTTACATTTACTGCACTCAGCCTTTGGTTTAAGGAAAGAATTGTGTTTAATAGGAACGAAGTGGTGCGATCTCTCAGGCCCACTACTTTACCTGATGTGCGTATATTGTGTCATATACCAGCGTCCACATCACTCCTGAGAAGTATAGCGGGAGACACACGGACCAATCACAAGAGCCTTTAATAGCGGACCAGCCGAGCAGAGCGCCCCAGTTGAAAGTGAGTCCTAAAGTGAGAGAAGAGAACAAGAGAACAGCTATAGTTCTGATAATCTGTAAAATATTAACTCTAGACAAAGAACACTACAAGATAACTTTACACAGCACATACCCAACACAAACTGTGGCCAGTAAGTGAACCTCTTCATCAGTGGGTAGGTGATAACAAGAGATAAAGAAGCAGCACCCAGAGCTATACTGTGAGAGCATTTTGAACAATGTGAGGGAAAGACTGCAAAATAACTGGATAAATAATCACTTTTAGTTACACTATGAAAATTAACACACTGTAGTAATATTGTGATCCAGTTCAACTGTTGCACTAATTTTTTTTTCTCATGACTCGGAGGATTTAATCTAACCTATATACCTGTTCCTATTCTTCTATTTATATTTTCCTAATAAAATGTCATTAACGTTCATACATAAAATTGATTCTGAGTACCTGTAATAGTTGAGACACAAAAGAACCCCAAGTGCAAGCGAGAGCTGCCCTCCCAGGAAGACCAGCGCCTGCATTCGAGAAATCTCTCCTGATGCGATTGGTCGAGAGGCTGTGCGGGACACCTGTGCAAAAACACGAACACTTTCAATTTATCAGAGCTGAAAAATAAAGAAACACTTTGAGCAGTGACAGTGACACAGGTAAGTCTAACGTCTGCTTAGAAATGGAGGTTTTATTTACTTTATTGCAAAAACATGTCCTGTTCTTTGTTTGGAGTCAGCTGTAAGAAAATCTCATTTACTTTTTTGTCGAAGTCTTTGTCCCACATGTCATTGATGGTGCAGCCGGCCCCTCTCATGAGAAGAGCACCTGTACCAAACAGTGTGAGCATGCCCAGATCTGGGAAGCATCCAGGGTTAGCAGCCAGAGCAATGCTCCATGTACAGGGGAGGTACAGCAGCCATGTCCCTACGATTAAAAGGCAATGAATTTCAAGGGAATTAAACAAGGAAGTAAGATAAGAACAGAAACAAAGCCCACAAAGAGATGAATGTGCAGCCAATAGCTACATTAATCTGGTGGCATTTTAAATGTGGTTTGGTTTTAGATGCATCTGTGCAGTGACACTGAAAAAATGCAGGGGCAAGATATTTTAGACTCATTGTCTTACACAGTAATTACATAAGAGTTTTACAGTTTGGTAGGATTCTTTCAAAGAACAATTTTAACAATTATTATCTACATCATGAGTTAGGGCTACATGCTTACAAAGATGCTTCCCTGTTAGTGCCAGTTAATAGCTCTACAAGGTCAAAGATGATGTGCTTATTTTAGCCATTTGTTTTCTGAAGACTGTATTAATGTTATATAGCTTCTTGTTTTGTTCTGTTTTGTTAACATGGTGAAAATGCTGCTAAAAATTGTTCTGGGCTTAAAGAGTGCATGTTTGGAATAAAGTCAAAATTCTGCAATATTCTAGATATCAATTTTTTTTTTTAAACTGACACAGATAAAAGTCATTGCATAGCAGAAAATGAATGTGTTTAAGCATGTAGACATGGTCATAATGACCTGCTGAAGTTAAACCTGAGCACATGAGCTTGCTTTGTCACAGTAGGAAGGAAAAACTCCCTTTTAACAGGGAGGGACGGCTATCTGTCGCGACTGGTTGGGGTGAGCGAATGAAGACACGACAACCCAACAATGTGATGTTCATATAAGTACAAACCTATAGGTTTGTCCAGCCTCATCAGCCGGAGGTACGGTTGGACGTGTACTGGTGCTGAATCTACTATAGTAGCAGCTGATAAACTGAACCGTCTTCTCCCGTTTTGCTGTGTTTCAAGAAGTCTTATTGATGACCAGACTGCAGATTGGTTCTTAGGCTTTCTCTTCCACACACGGGAGTCTGAGGGGGGCCCATCTCCAGCCTGTATCCCTTCCTTCTGGATGAAGCAGGTAGAAAGACATCGATAACAAGCTCCATGGTGGATCCTTTTCAGAGTGCTCAAAGCTAGCTTGGCTGGGAACATGGTGTCTCTGCACTCATAAAGATCACCCCTGCACACACAGAAGCAGAAAGACACATGCAAACGAAGGTTAAACAAATACATTTGGTACAACAGAAACAGAGATGTGTGAAACTTTTGGCTGAAACAACCTGACTGTTTTAGCTGTTTAGGTAAGACACTGCACACACCTACATGAGACAAGCTGGTGTTACAGTAACAAGGCTAAGCTATCACTGAAAATATAATGAATGCTACCAACACACTTGCTAACTCTAGTGTGATATAACGCCAAAGCAAGCTTACAATGAAGGTTACAATAGAGAATATACCGATTTTAAAAAGACCAAACACTGGACAGATGACAACCACATCAATACTTCCCTGCTGGGTCGTCATTGGTCGTCTCTTCTTTGAGACTGACAGACAAGTTGGAGGACCAGCGCCTCCAACTGGTGTGGAGTGTGCATCACAATTTCCTTACTGGTTAAATAAAAACCAGGTCTCACACTAACTAGTTTTTATTTTTTATTATGGCAGCTCCATATTCAGCATTCTTTATCCAGTATATCCACTTTGCCTCCTCTGCACATGTACAAACAATCAGTAAGTTGGTTTTATTCGTTTTTGTGGTTTCTTTTGCAATCCTCAATGGGAAATAGCTACAGAGGTCACTTTCTGTCAACCATATGTATGCAATAATATAAATAATATTCAGCTTAATGGAAGCTTTTATATGCCAATAGTTTTTTTAATAGCAGTGTTTTGTTAGTTTATCTAACACTGCTTCACCTAAGGCGTTCTTAACAATTGCCTGTTTCTTTCTTTTTTTTGCACTTTTTAAGGAAAAAGCACCCATGCTTTTTTGGTTAAAACCATATGTTTGAAAACCTCTTTGAACAAGCCCTGTAAGTCTACTTCACTTATTTTGTTCTTGTTAACATACAAAACAACCATGGAGTAGTAGTCAGTGTAAACTGATCGGATCCTAGAAATTTATTTCTGTTCATCTGGACCCAGCGTTTAGTAGAAACATTTTATCACTTATCTATGTGACTTCTTCAGTTTCAGCCGACTGCAGGCTTCACCAACTTTACAAACAATACGGCTGCATAATGACTAAAATAACACCAATCAGCCAGAAGCTTAGTTTCAATAAAAAAAAAATTCAAAGTGAGAAATAAAATAAATAAGTTCTAAACAGATTCTTAAATTTACTTGTCAAGACAGGGTAGGGCTGTGGAATATGCAACATTATTGCATATGCAAAAAACATGTGACAAATGTAAGCAGCATTACAACTGAAACCTCACTGCTCTTGCTGAACAGTGCTGCACAGGGCCCTGTTCCAAAGGGCTTCGGAGTTGACGTAAAGCGGCGATGTATGTCGGCAACCTTCCGATTACAAGGCGAACTCCCAACTCTTGAGCCACGATCGCCCCAAAGACTACAATGAGAATAGAAACAGAGCAGTGTAGCTGGTTAAGTGGTGCAGTTGATAATGAGAAACATGCTTTCATTTTGTACTTTTTTAGTATGAGTACTATTCATTGTGAGATGAGGAATGGCTGCATTCACCGCATTATAAGATCGTGAAAGATAAACTCTTAAGCCCCTTCTCGTTTGAGAGATGGTCGTTCCTTTTTTACACAAACGGCCTCCTGCTTAAAGCAGGATATCTGCCTCGAAAGGATTTGCGCATCATGAACATATAAAGAGTGAATTTGAAACATATTGAGCAAAAAATGCTGTGAAGACGTGATATATGACACAAATCTAGATCCTTTATTTTTTTTCCTAGAATGTTTTAGCTTTCATCTTGTTGTAAAAGCCAGACCCTCTGCAAAAGTCTGCAACATCAGTATAAAATTTCTCTGGGATACCAAGGTGATATTGGTAAAACAAAGCTTTTCTTGCTTTCTTTGTGACCTGTGCAGCTCAGCAAGCATCGTCACTGCAAGCACGTGGCCAACTGCCTGCGATAGAAACCGAGCCTGAAAAAAGGATTTCTGTTATAAGTTTTTAATAACAATAGCGCCCATTTATTTAAATATGCGGTGCTATATAACACTTACAGTATGGAGGATTTGTTAATACCCTTCACTGGACATTATAATACCTATATCGCCGGCCATAGAAACAGAAAACAACACCATCACAAAAACAGAAAAGACTTTTAAAAGGGGGGCTTGGCGTTAAGGCATGAAATCTACGCACTTCCGGTTACTGTTTCCCCAGATTTCACAATGAACTAAGCGTGGAAGTAAAAAAAAACAACAACAAAAAACTCCATACGTTTTCGTGAATATTAACAAACACACATTTTTTTTAATCAAATTGATAAAATTAAAAAAAATATAATTAAGAAATCCTAGTTCGTATTAAACCAAAATATCCTGTCGTTATATCGAATCTCGTGTAACTGCTGGAAAAAAACATTATAACTGATATTTTAATTACTTACACAGCGGAGGTAGTTTTCAGGTAGTTTTATTTTGAAGGGTTGGTGAATTCTACGGAAGTGAAGATGTTTTGTTGCGGTGGCGGAAGCACAGGCCAGGGAGAGTCACACTCGCGGGAAAAATGGCGGAAACGTGTTCCGTGTTCATGCGACTTCCAGCAGCGGTTCAAAACGGTGCCTCCTAAGCCTTGTCCTGTTTTTGTGTGCATGCGTGAGTAAAAACCTTGCGTGCATCGCGCACTTTAGCGAGTTGCACATTTCGGCATTTTGTTAAAATAGGTAGGATCTGTTTATTCGGTTGACTCGTTTTACGTCTCCTTCCTGTTGAATATGCTACACTGAAAGTTAAATAGAGGTGTTGAGTTCTTTGTGCTGCCATATTTAAAGATAATATTAGCAAAGCGTACAATCTCGCTCTCTCGCTCTCTTTTTTAAGTATTCACTTGTGTGTTTAACTTAATAACGGATAACGAAGTAGTGTCGGATTATGTTGTGCTGCTTCTGTGCCTTGAGAAAAATAATAATCTGTTTTTTCAGTTGTCTAGGTGTGTCACTTAATGTGTAAGGCTGTGGGTTAAAAGAGGCATGCAAGATGGAAAACGGTATGTATCACAGAGGTATGCAACGTCTTTGTGAATAGATACTGACCTATGCTGATCTATACTGGTCTGTTGCCTGCCCCCTCAGATACAGTGGAGTGCTCCACCTCTGGCCACATCAAGCAAGTCATCAGCCAAGCAGTCACTGAAGAATCCCAAGTTAAGGCTTTCCATTGTAGTCACTGTGTGCTGGTCTTCAAATCGAAGGTGTACCTTTTTGAACACCTCAACAAGGTGCATGGCCTCAATACAGAAATTTCTCTCAGAGAGGCTGGTTTATGCCCTGGGACTGACAAAGCCAACACAGAGAACAGCAGCAGCAGTTCAGGAGATAATTTTAAATGCCAGAGGTGTGATTTTAAAGCTTGTAGTTGGGATGGTTTAAGTGAACACGAGGAACTGTGTCACAAAACTTCAGAAAATCCTAACGTGTCAGGAGGTGTCATCATTTCAGAAAACCTCGACAGCACTTTAAGTGTCATTTCAGCAAACCAGAACAATGAAGCTGCAGGAACATCGGAAGATCCATCAGTTCTTTCAGATATTTCTACCTCAGAAGGGAAATGCATGTTAAAGGACCTGAAAACCTACAAGAGGCCATTGCAAACCATTACAAAGTACTTCTCAGTGTCATCTGAATCAAATGCAATGACTGCTGAAAAATTAGCTGATGGAACCAAAGGAACTATCATTTTGCAGGAATCTCCTTCAAGCTCCTGTCCAAACAGTAGTGGTGTGTTCAAAGTCACAGCAAAGTCTGTGATAGATATCACAGGAAGTAAGTCGTACCATTTTTTGCACACTGACTTGACTACTGATTTGACACCATCTAAAACTCCGGAACAATTCAGAAAAGAAACTGTTCCTGACAGTGCTGTGAAGAGATCCAGTGGTAAAAGTTTAAAAAGTCATCCTGTCAAAAAAGCCAAGTTGGATAACGAAGAGATGCTCACGGAAAAAGAAAATGAAAGACAGCAGTCATCCAGCAGCAACGAGTTTTCATTTGAAGTCAGCGAAGATGAAGACGAGGCAGACGTGGCAAAAGTGTATTCTTGTAAACATTGTGACTACAGTGACGTGGGCATCAGGCGAATTTCTGCCCATTATCAAAGTGACCACCCTTATATCAGATACAATTCTGTCTACATTCAGGACGCAAGTGATCACAGTGCCACCTTTCGTTGCTTGGAGTGTCCAGTTGAGTTTTTAAGCACAGCTGACCTCAAGAGGCACTACTTGGAAAATCATCCAGATGCCCCAGATGTATTTGCCATGAAATCATGTGGCCTCAGTTTGGTTTTCAAATGCTTTCTTTGTAAATTTACTACCAATCTATTGAAGTCTTTGAAAGAACATTACAAGGCAAAGCATGCAACATATGAAGTGGAGAATTCCTTATTGTTCTGCAGATATTCAATGTCTGAATCCCAAAAGGAATCGTCTCAGCTGAGTTTAGAAAAATCAGATGGAATTTCTCCTGAGCGTGCCCACACATCCCAAAATTCTTCTTCTAAAAGAGCAGACATGGCCTTGTATAAATGCCAGAAATGCATGTTTAGTCACAGGTCAGTTGTTGCTATGCATGTTCACTACCAAAAAAGCCACCCAGATGAAGTAATCACATTAGATAAAATCAAACAGTCCGCTTGTCCCACATCACATGCAGCATCAGAGATGACATCTGAGAAGTGTTCAGATTCTGTGATTGTAGTAGATCATTCAGAGACCACACCAGAAGCCTGTAAGAATCGTTCAGAATCTTCCCAAACCACGAAAGGGGAATCTTCGAAGTTTCCAACAAAATCCAGTAATGAAATTACTACTGGACTGGACATTTCCTCATCCAGTTTACCAAATGAAACATTTTACTGCCAGTTCTGCAGTTACACAAGTACCAAGGTTAAGAGTATCCTTGGTCATCACAATGCAAAACATTCTATGGATGCACCAATAGGTACTGATGATGTCCTATGGTATAGTGCTGAGATGCAGAAACGTCAGAGTGAATCTAAGATGTCAAAAAGTCCTTCATCTTCCCAATTTAATACTAGTAAACAAGTGAAGATGTGTAGGGAAAAAGAAGATCTGTATAAGGAGGATTACACAGCAGATGCCTCAGAAACAGGAGAGAGACAGAACAAGTCCTACGCATGTCCAGAAAACTTGTTTTATTGCCACAAATGCAACTTCGGAAATCCGTCTGTAAAAGGAGTAATTAACCATCAGGCCAAGGTTCATCGAAAGTGTAATTCCAGCACTAAGTGTGTTCTTGAATATACAGCTTTAATCCATGATGAAATCAGGAAAGCAAATGCAAAGGATTCCTCTTCTTCCCATCTACCTCTTCCTATAATAAATGAAGGCGAAGAAAAAGCTTTTTTTTGCCACTTTTGTAACTACAGGCATAGTACTTTGGATCAGGTAATGCGCCATTACAGCAAAACACATCATGGATTTAAGGCGAAGCCTTCAGAAATCCTTCTGCATACATCTAAGATCCACGATCAGGCACAGAAATCTCTTCTAACATCCGCTCAAAATGAAGAAGCTGCTCAGGAAATCCTCAAAGTGAAAAAGAAAAAAACAAAGAAGCATTCAAAATCTTTGGTCATTTCAGCAACACCCTCAGTGACAACCCCACACACAAAGAGGTCCCTGAACTGTTACTCATGCGCATACAAAACTGACGTGATATATGCTCTGAAGACGCATTTAAGGAAAATTCACAAAGTAAAGCGTACAGTCACAGATATTTTAAGATATTATTTTAGACAAGGATCATTAGAGCGCGGCTATTATTGTGAATTCTGTGTTTTCAGACATGAAAAAGCTGCAGCAGTTTATGAGCACTACCAGGAACGCCACCTAGGACGTGTCCCCTGCGTTGAGTATGTAAGTTCTCGGTTATATGCTGGTCCTGGAATGGTCCATTGTAAAAAGAAGAAGCCTGATCTAGAGCAGAGTGGAGGCAGTGGCACTGAAAACAGATTGCTATCCCAAAGATCCGGACAAAATAAAGCTGGTTTGTCTTGCAAAAGATGCTCTTTTAAATCTAACTCTTTGTCAGATCTGGCACACCATTACCGAATGGTTCATCCTTTGAGTGCAAAACTTTCCAAGAAAACAAACGCAAGCTGGCGGGTGCAAGACCAAAGTGACAGACCTGGCTCATTTGACTCCTACCAGTTTGGTAAATCACAGGATGAAGCAAAGGCGTCCTCCACAGTGTTCAAGTGCCTTTACTGCTCTGCAAATTTTAATAGCAAACACGGTCTCCATATTCACTGTGGAATGAAACACCCGGAAGTTGTAATCAAAAAATTTGAACAAGAACAAAAACCAAAAAAGCAGCTCCAAAAACGTCTGCATGTCTTTAAGTGTCCGTATTGTACCTACGTCAATACCGTTTATCAGGGTGTTCTCACTCACTGCCAGATGAAGCATCCCAACCTCCCATCCAGGGCCGATAGTCTCCATGTGGATATGGTGTATGTTGAAAATTTGGACGAAACCCGGAAAAGCAGTCCTCCTGGTGAGACTTTGAAACTTTGTGGGCACATGTGTAAAACCTGTCCCCAAATCTGCGCAACGCTGGAGAAACTGAACAAACACTGCGAGCGAGACCACAAGAAGACTGGTGCAAGCACAGCACAAAGCACGGCCAAACCTGCTCCTAAGCCATTAGTTAAAAGTAAAATACTTCTATCTAAAGCCTACAGTACACATGGATCTGTATCAAAGACTTCAGTTTTAAGCAAGAAAATCTATGCCGTGATCAACTGCCAGCACTGTTCTTACACATGCACCACCAAACTTGCTCTTGGTCGCCATTTGCTTGCTAACCACAAGCATACTATTTCAAAGGACTGCGTATACAAATGTGTGCTGTGTTCTAAAGTTTACTTCAGGAAAAAGCATCTTGGAGGCCACTATGCAGTGACGCATGGAAAGGAGGCTTATTTAAAATACTACGTGCCCATATACAAACAGCCTCTCAAGAAGACAGCGCCATCGCCGTTTGAAGACCCATCAACTCAGCAACAAGAAAAAGCCTCTGAGACATTTAAGTCTAGCATAACAGCAGAAGAAAGCCTCTTGATCTACAAGTGTCCAAACTGTCCATATGTGAATGCTAGCTACCACGGGACCCTCACTCACTGTCAAATGAAGCATCCAGCAATTGTAGTCCGGGCAGATGAACTTGAGACAGGTGAAGTCTTTGTATCAAACATGGTCAATTGTACTTTAGGAAAAGGTTCTAATGAAAGAGGGTACTTGTGTAAAAAATGTTCACAAATCCATGGATCACTGACAAAACTCAATGCTCACTGTAAGAGGGTTCATCATGACACAGAAGTGTATGAGCACACAGACACTGAAAGCCAGCCGGTTCACACATCTCAGGGCTCAGCATGGGA